GGTATAATTGTCCCCTGATTCTCTACTAATACTTGCTATATAATATTACGGATCCTCGCTTCATCGAGGACGGGGGAGTAGATTCTGAAGGGTTGGAAGGTTCACCCATACTCATTTCCTTTTTACTGCTTGCTCCAGTTCTACGTCTCATCTACATAACACTAACACTTTTAGTCAACTCAATTAACTCATCTACTACAAGTAAGGAAAGAAATAACTTACAACAGTCGGCTATGGAACATCAATGCGGCGAGAGAGGCACAATGTAATATCTCAAAACCTTTCCTCTGATACCAAAAATGTAATACTCACTCTCTAGCTAGTATAGTAAGAAATAACAGTAAAACTCACAAAAAATATATAAGAAAATATACATGTAGATGAATATAAAATAATGGGCCCATAACTAATTTTTCTTTAAATACAAATCTTTATAAAATATAATAAAGTCACAAAACAACAACTCGACAGTGTTGCCCAACTCTTCTGTTGCGTGACGTTCCAAGCAACCGCATCTCACCTATTACCTGCAAAAACATTGAAAAAAATGGGGTGAGCACTAATTTCTCAGTAAGTAAACCCGCTATGCTACTCTTCTCTCTCCGTTGCTTAAATTCTGAATTTTTTTCCTTACATCACACCTCTCTGTTCTTTCTCTATTCTTTCTCTATTCTTTCTTTGTTCTTTCTCTATTCTTTCTCTATTTCTAATTTCTCACTACCCATTATAATAGGCATGGTATCATGCATAGGTATGATGCAAATGCACAAATGCATAGAATGTGAATTTTCTTTTCTGTTTTTTGTTTCTTTTCTCTTTCTTTCTTTCTTTTTTTCTTTTTTTCTAGTCTTTCTTTCTTTCTATTCTTTCTTTATTTTTCTATTGTTTCTTTTTTTTTTTTTTTTTTTTTCTGTTCTGTCATTTCTTTCTTTTCTCTTATCTTTCGTTTCTTTTCTTTTGTTTCTTATTCTTTGCCGATCGAACTCGGTTGAGCCATGGATTCAAAACTTCGGTCGTATGAGTGAGTACAATCCTCATCTACATGCACTCTTACAGACTATACAAATTCCTCTTCTTCTTAAGCAACTCACTAAAGATGGCGTGCATATAGGAATATTCTTCTGGGTACAATCCTCATCCACATATACTCTTACGGACTGTACAAATTCTTCTTCTTTTTAGGCCGCTCACGAAAGGCATCTAAAACAAAAGACATATAGTTGTCCTTTAGAATTCTCGAATATACATTTTCTATCATCTCCACTAATGAATGAAGGCATGTCCTTACCAGAGTCCCCTTAATCTTAGTGATATGATTCTTTTTGGTATCTTCTTCAGGTTTAAATATATCAAAATCAGCAACTATTGCAATCAAGCATTCATTCAAAAATATGTTGGCTGACCTAACAACTCTATGTAAAATGCAAGGATATGTAATGCAAGGTCATGCAGATAGGAGAGGCATCTAACTGCACCAAGCGCTATTTTGGGTCTTGTTATTCTGTCCAATCTGATTCCAAACTTCCGTGTATAGATAAGATGCAAGTTTTTCCAAACATTCTAAACCTAGGTAAGCTAGCATGATCATAGCTAAAGTTGTAATCGAGCCGACCCGAGTATCTAACTACTCGAGCTCGACTCGAACGGTACCAAGCTCGAGTTCAAGCTCGAGGCCCGTCGAGCCTAGTAAAGCAGAATCAAACTCGAAACTCAAAATACTATAAGGGACTAGAAGTCGAACTCGAGCTCGATGCCAACTCAAATTTGGTAGAGGCTCAATTTTAGTCGAAGAACAAAAATGCATGACATAACCAATTATATACAATGAAAGATTAACTCATATCAATTACACTTTGCATACTAACTCATAGCAAACCATGACATAATAAATACAAATATCAGAGTGATAATAAGTTTAATATCAAGAAGAACAATACTCAAAATTAAGGTGTTACATAAAATATCCCACAAATTTAGCAACAAAAAGCATAACACCGTATATTGGCTAGCACAATTGCAAGTTGCTGGAATATGATAGCAAAATGTTACTCTAGTAACTGGAGAATTTTTGAGTTGACATGGAACGTGCACTCTGAGGTTGCGTCTGGAATATGGATACCTTTAAAATCTGAGATAAAACAACAAGAGTTAGAAGTTAATAGTTACTCTAATGTAATTTAGAAATAATTCATGCTACTGCCTAATGTAACTTAGAAATAGTTACTCTAATGTGACTTAGAAATTATTCATGCTATTAGAAACAGCAGGACAGTTTCATGCTCATATTCATAATACATAATTCTCCTATTGCCTTTATGCTAACAGGTAGAAGTAGAACAAGCATGCATTATAATTGCATCTAACTATTGTCTAATGAAAATGAAAACTTAACCAATGATCTAAATATTATAAGGATAAAGCAATTGCATCTAAATATTGCTACCCAACATAATAAACAAAAGAGTACATGATGATGAAGACAAAGTTGCCTCAACAATTAATGCAAACTGCCAAACCATTACAACACCTAGAAACTTTAACATCCTCTAAAACCTAAAAACCGGAACCCCACTCTCCAAAACCTCCTAAAATCAAATCGAATTTGTGCTAACCCAATCAGGAACATTAAATATGAATAGAAGTAAAAAGCTGCAAATAATGCAATAAAAGTCAGTTTATGCAGCATATTGTGACCAATTAGGCAAGGTAAGTAAGACTGTCCACCAAAGTCACCCCAACTCTTCATTAATGCTTTTATTGTTTCATCTCAGTCCACAATTTATAATAGAATTCTATAGACATCATCTCTTATCCAATAGCATTGGCCCAATTCAAATATAGCCTGTGTACTAATTTTTTTTTCAAACAATAAAACATATACCTCGCCTATTGTGGTGACAAATCACAATGTGGTACAAAAAACACACAAACATACCATTTGATCTCTTTCCGAATTCCAATTTCAGATCCAAATTAATAGATAAGTTAATTATAACCCAACATATCTGCCAATAAATCATAAGTTGGACTGTTGGAGGATCAAACAATCTGTTAATTCCCCCCAGCTGAAGGGATAGGAAGCGTCATCTCCACTGATTGTATATCCTTCTAAAATACATATAAGAAAAAATAAAAAAGTTTAAGTTAAACAGTAAAATAAAAGTCAATTATAAATAAAGGAGGCATATAACTTCAAAAATTTAATAAATGAACTCACTTTGCTCTCCTTCTTCAATTTGTTAAGATTGCGATACCAATCACCCGCACATGGTAGCACTTGTACGGTTTCAAGAGACAATGAAGCTCGATAAGTGTCGATAACTCTACTCCCGACACTAAAACTAGCCTTTGAAGCCACCATGGTTATAGGAATGACTAGTGTATCATGAGTCATCTTAGATAACATAGGATGCTTTGAACTGTTCCATTTCCACCATGCTAAAGCATCAAAGGCATCATGAGCTTCTTGACACTAGTAACATCCCTCATCCAAATAACAATCCAATTTTGATTTTTCCGATACAACCGTATCACTTGTGTCTACTAAACTCAATAATACTGACCGACCAGAAGAGTCATCTTCTATAGTCAACCCACTACCGCCACTAACACCTACGTTGGCATTGCAGTTGGCGATAAAAGATTGCCTATTAGCAACGTATTCCCCATACAACTCATAAAACGCCTCTCGAACTTTTGTAACATGTACCCGTGATTCTTAATGACCAAAATCTTGGGGAAAACACCTTCAATCACTCTCATTTTGCACCTAGGCTCCAAGATAGCAACAATAGCCATCAACAAATTACACTCCCAATACTTATCAAACTTGCCTTTCATCTTCCTACCATGTTCTGAACAAATTCATTTTCATCATTTACATGTTTATCCAACAATATTTTAACCCTACAAACCTCGGCCAGAAATTTATTTGACATTGGACAGTCACTCCCGGAAATGTTATTAGTGGCATCACTAAACTTTCAAAATCTAACATACTTTCTCAACTTTGTTCAAGTCTTTAGGTTTGGACAAGAATGATAATGCGGGTCTCTTTCAACATAGCTTGAAAACAGCCTTTTGAAGTTAGTGCAATTGACAACATCTCATAATTTGAGTTCCTTCTTGTTTTACAGTCAAGGATTAGCTTCCAATATGGCAACTGCAAGTTTTGCACAATCTTTGAAAAAATGTTAAGTCTACTCTCCAATTGATGTACGACACACTTATCACGGACGTCCTAAATGATGTGCCTAATCTGAGTAATACCATCTTGCACCATTATATTTAATATGTATGCACAACACCTAACATGAAACATCTTACCTCTACAAGCAAGCTTTCTGGTTATCGAAAAGTTTACTCTCATAATCCTAATTGTAACATTATTACTTGTTGCATTATCAACTGAGATAGTGAAGACTTTGTTTTCAATTCCTCATTCCCTCAAACACTTAGATATACAATCAATAATCTGAACCCCAACGCACAAAGGAGGTAAGTGAACAAAACTGAACACACGATTATTCAACCTCCAATTAGTATCTATCCAATGCCCCCGTCAAAACCATGTATTCAACCTTCTCATTACCTAAATTCCACAAATCGATCGTCAAACTTATTTTATCGACACTCCTCAACAGGTTCTTCAATTTCTTTTTTTCCCATACCATACACCTTCATACAATCACTTCTACTAGTAATGCACGATATCATTTCCCAACATGGCATCACATACGAGCAATTTGCTTAAATCCTCCTCCACAGTTGTAAATGGGCGCTCGTGATAAGCACCCAAAACACAAGAAGTTCCCTCATAACTACCATATCAAACTTACCACCAATTATAGCAGACCATCTCAATTTCCCCAATACTTGAATCTGAGGGCAGAAAATTAATCTGTTGTTGTTGCCTCTGGAAAACCATTCACTGCACACACACATTCAAACATCTAGAAAATTGAGTAGTGCTTCAAGTAGCATTAATGGCAAACCTGGCTTTACAATGGTTGCATTCTGCCTTTTTGTACTATCGGGTAGAACCACCCTTGTAAATTTTGTCAAGATCGGAGATGTCTTAGTTATTTTCTTTCTTTGAAATGGATTAGCATCATTTTCATTGTCCGGGCTAGTAGCACAAGTTTCACTCTCATTCGTATTAAGTGTGGGGCATGTGGTCTCAACCTCAACCAAGTTTTCATCTAACATGGGACAGGAACCAGATGAGTATTTCATACCTGTAATGGAAGAAATATAACGCTATTAGTATTGGAAATATCGATACAAAAATTTGTCAAATAAAAAATAAATTAATTATCAAACAACATTATTCTACAAATGAAGAAACTTAGACATTCCAATAACATTCAATCAAAAACATAGACATCAGTGATTGGTTTATAAACTGCAAAATATCAAGGCCTAATTCGAAAAAGAATTGTTTGATTACACCAATAGCAAACAAAAAAATATTTGATTATAAATTCTTTCGTTTTATTTTTTAATTTTACTAATAGATTACCTATTATTTGTAATTTAAGATTAATATAAGAGCAAACACTGGCAGTGCGCAGCTTGTCCCAAATCAAACACCACTCCATATCCCAAATGAAAGAAGCAAATGAAAGAAGCAAATGAATAAAGGTGGATTATAATATAAGAGCAAACACTGGGCAGCCTGCAGTCTGCAGCTATATATTACCTGGACAAGCTTAAAACTTAAAGAATTTTCTTGGTACTTGGCAACAAAGAAGTCATGCAAACTTGTGATGTTGGGATATCCACTTTTGATAGAATGAAATGAGGCCTAGAACACAATAAAGACATTATTACCAATTACCATGCATGTAGGCAAAAATTTCATTGTCAAGTCCCTAAGAGCAAAAATGTGCATAATTACCGTATCAAGAATTGTTTCAATGAATGTTGTGTAAGATGATGTGACTTAAACTTCATAAGGACGCAACCAAGAGGAAGACCAGCTTCTTGAAATATATCTGGAATAAAACACCAACAATTATATCCTTCAATAGACTCATTTTAAACAAGGCCAACATCACAGAATAACCAAGAATTAATCATGATATGGGATTCAACCTCACCCTCACATAAACAGCATACTAATTTCGTATAAACAGAAAAAAAGAATCAATAAAAGTTACAACAATAAAGGCATGTACTATAAACATGTGAAATAAGTTGAACAGCAAGATACTCCTGCCTACAATCATCACCACTCTTCACAAATTCATGATAACCTATACAGAAGAAGAGAACAATTCATTACTGCCAACAGACAGAGAAAACACCATTCGGATATCAAAAGAATTGTAGAATACAAATGAAATAAACAGGGCAAAGTTATAATTTCGATTGCATACTTCTCTACTTCTTTATAGGAAGCAAAAAAATTATATTTCTATCAAAAAAAAAAAAAAAAAAAAAAAAAAAAAAAAAAGATGACGCAAAACAGTAGGATAATCCAGTGGTCCCTCAGAACATTTACAAGTTAGTGGAACAAAATACCCCCACAATATATTTTCTATACAGGATTCGAAATCATTAATCATGTTCATCCAATCCAATCAAAAGTGTGTTCCTATAAAAAATTGAAAAAGAAAAAGCAACATATATAAACAGAGCTTACAGAACGAAAGTCCCAAGCAGGTAATTTTCCATGCATTGAAGCTTTTCGAATCCTTTCTTCGTCATCCAAAGTTCACCATATAAGGCATCAGTGGCCTTAGACAACCATTAGCCTGCTGGGACTATTTGTCAGTAACAAAATTCCAGATTACAACCAAAAAAAAGCAAATTTAAGTTTTAACGAATGGTCACCCTTGGTTATGCCTCCTACGAATCTTGACCAGCCCCTTTTAGAGGGAGTCCTAGAGGGGCTTCTTCTTTAGCAGCAGCTGCCTGTAGAATGACAGCTTATTCAGCAAGATGCAAAACAAACATGTATATTCGTTTTCACACTACCTAAGAGTGAGATGAGTTGAAGCAAAACAATGACCAACGAAGGAGAGGGAAAACGATGGAGAGACAGCGAATGACGAAGAACAAAGTAAATCGGGGAAGGAGAGAGTTTTTAGAGTTAGGGTTTCTTTCTAATTTAGTAATGCAAATCGATTTTTACATTATTTGAATATGGGTGAATTTGCAGTTTTAAAATATAAAACATATCATAAACATATCATAATTCATATGGCCCTACTTTCAAACCTAGCAAATGAACCCTCGACCTCACTTATGCTGACGAGCCAAGTAGTACCTCATTCAAACTCAACTCGACCCTATAGTCAAGCCATTCAAGCTCGAGCCTCTTGAATAGATCCTTGTTGAGTTCGTTTGATGGCAACCAATTCTCCAGTGGGGGAAGAGTTCCTGTATATACCTGCAGAGATGTTCACAACAATTAGAAGTTTGAAATGTAATGTAGTTTTAAATCTTGAGAATAATTAGGTCATGTCAACAAACACAAATTTCGGTAAAAGGCAAAAACAACATTGATGTATGATAAGAATGCAAAATGTCATATTTACCTCTCTAAATGTCTCCTCTTTTATACTTATTTGTTGCTTAAATGTACTCATTATTATTTTATTTTGATTTAGGATGCAAATGGAGGCGTTAAATGCAAAACGGAACTAATTAGGTGAATTTGGACAGTTTTGATATCGCTTTGTAATCTGGGCATAACTCTCTCATCCAGGCTCCGATTGAGATGATTCAAAATGCTGTGGAACCCTAAGAAAGATATCTACAACTTTCATGTTTTGAGTTTGGAGAGATACTTGCTGAATCAAGGCTGTAATTGGGCTTGAAATTGACGCACCTGCATTACTAACGTTCTGGAACATTCTGCCCTATCATGCAAGCCAATTAGGCAGTTTATTATTGGAAGTTTTGAAGACCTGTTGCATGCAAGTTACAGCAGGAAACACCACTTTCCTATTTTACAGTAGGACTTTATTTTATTTTCAATTAATCAAATTAGGATAAATGTTATTTTAGGATATTAGAATATTTTTAGGAGATTGAGTAGAATTCAAAAACTTGAATTGGATATTCTTAAAAGGGGGGAGAGATCAGATTAGAGGAGATTACACACGCCTCTCCTTCTACTCTTTTGTAATCTTTCTTTTGAGTTTTGATTATGGACATGAGCGGCTAAAACTTTTATAACTTGGTCGAAGGAAACGGAGGCCTCGAAATTAATAAAACTATGAGATCTAATCTGTTTTTTCTAGTGTTCAATATATGTTTTGAGTATTGGATGTTATTCTATGCCTATTTTCATGATTGTTTCATTTAATTACTAGGAGACCTACTAGTTTATTATTTGTTGCAATCTACTACTAAGTTACATATCAAATCCATAATTGTTTGATCCTTCTAACTTGTGAGTAATTAGGGTTTAAGAATTTGCTGCGTCAGGAATTATTAAATCTTAGGAAGAACATTCAACTAAATTAAATACAACCACTTGTGTTTGTGTTGTTCAGTTTCATCGATTTCTCTAGCCCTTAAGGCTGCTACTAGATTAAACTTTTAGCGCTTGTCTAGGGTTTTTTAGTAGTAAGATTAATTAGATCGCTTGTTTTCTAATTAACTACAACTAAGGAGAGATAGGAAAATAGTTCTAACGGTGAATACTCAAAGTATGAATTGATATATTTTTGCATCGATGATCAGTTGTAAAATTCCGATGGTGGATGTTGACTTAGACCAAGGTTTGTTATTTTGATTGATTAATTTGAATTGTTTTTCCTGAAATTGTTTCCGTTTTACTCAAATCTCCCCAGCCTTGTTCACGTAACATAAAACTCGGCTAGACACTCTCCGTGGGAATGATCCTTACTCACACTACTACATGTGTTTTTAGGTTTTAATTTTGGTTGCTTGCGACAGCACACCAATGTAACAGCTTGAGAATATCAGTATGTACTCTTGATAATTACTGGTTTTGATTCACAAAATAACTAATTAATATAGAATATGGTTAAACAAACAACATTCAAACCTTTCCACAGCCCCTAGTTCCAATGGCATTGACTTCAAAAAAATTGTTTGTGCAATTAATAAGCTCCTCAAAAGAGAACAATCTCACTCCTTTTGGTTTCAGGAATGCTACTCTTCAGGTAATGTAGTTCTGCATTTGTACAAAATAAGATTGAGTACTTTGCATACTGGAAAATATCAAGTGTAGAATAAATTCTTATCACACCACTCTCTTTGCTGGTTCTTCCAACTAAAATCATAAGCAACCAGTACTAACAAAAGGACACAACCACTGGTTGTCGCTCCAACAATAATACCAACACTTGATGGCTTCTTTGGTTCTCTATTGATTGGTCACTGTTTGTTTCTTTTAAGGTAAGGACAATACAAAATGCAATTGCAAATGCATTTAAAAGACGAATGTTTTGATAAATTTCATGAATAACCCTTAAGTTTCGTGGTGGATGCTGCAGATGAATGGACAACGGCGAAGATGGAAGAGTGCGGCTGTGGTGCGGGAAGTTGTAGTTGAGTGGACGGCGACGAAGATGGAAGAATGTGGCTGTGGTGTGCGGGACGTTGCAGATGAGTGGACGGCGATAAAGATGGAAAGAGTGCCGCTGTGGTGGCGGCAAAGATTGGTGTATGTGGTTGTTAGGTTTTAAAAATTGAAATTGAATTGGGTGTTGTGTTATAATTCAATGGTGCTATTTAGTAATAATACAGAAAAGATAAAGTAAACAGAATAAATAACAATGACCAAAGTGAGAGAATTGAGAGATGTGGGTGATATAATAAACTCTAAATATTTGGGCTGCTTTCAATTGAAGAAGAATACTTGAATGAAAGAAGAGGGGAATATAACTTGCCAAGGGTTTGGATCTTGAACAGAGATGGTTGCCATTTTTTTATGGAAAATGCTAGATATACAAAGACTCTTACAAAGAATCCTTTTACAAAGTGATGTGGTAGCTGCCACACCACTAGGTTTCACATCAATCTTCTCTTTCTTTTCACAAACCAGTGGTGTGGCAGCTGCCACATCTTTTTGTACAAAGACTCTTTGTACATATAGCATTTCTCTTTTTTTTTTTATATATACAATAGGCCATCATGAGAATAATAGACAATTGCAATCATTCTTTCGTAGATCTGGAGAAACTATTAGTAGGCAATTTAATGTAGTTTTAGGTTCCATTCTTCGGCTTCATCATATATTAATTCAGGAAGACAGAACATGTCCTTGAGAACAGCACAAATGAGAGATGGAAGTATTTTAAGGTTTACTTCTACACCTAGTTTATTTAGCTTGTAATAAATTAAAATTTTATCTAAGATAGAAATTTATAATGTAGAATTGTTTAGGTGCTCTAGATGGAGCATACATTAAAGTTCGAGTATCGGGACAAGAAAAATCTAGATATCGTACAAAAAAGAATGAGATAGCTGTGAATGTCTTAGGAGTATGTTCACAGGATATGCAGTTCGTATATGTTCTACCAGGGTCAGTGCATGATGGTAGAGTTTTCAAAAATGCATTAACTAGAAGAAATGGTCTTACAATACCACAAGGTAAGTGTTATGAAGTACATAAATTACATTAGGAATCTTCAAGTGAGTTAAAATTTATACCTAATTAAACAAAATTTAATTTTGTCATGATAGGATACTATGATTTGTGTGACGCTGGCTATACAAATTGTGAGAGTTTTCTTACTCCATATAGAGGTCAAAGATGTCATCTTAATGAATGGAGACAAGGAAGTCAACCTGCAACTCCTCAAGAGTACTTTAACATGAAGCACTCTAGAGCTAGAAATGTAATTGAGAGGTGCTTTGGTGTATTAAAATTGAGGTGGACCACTCTGAGAGTACAATCATGGTTTAATTATGTTGAGTCCTCAGAGGAGTGGAATCAGTTTAGAGAAAACTTAGTAGTGCAAATGTTCAACAATTGGCAAAATAGTAGACTTAGGAATTAGTTTTGCTATTTGTATACTAGAGATAACTTGGAATCTATTGCATGATTTGATGTAATGAGTTACTAATTTATTGTTGTGAACTTTTACTGTGCATTTCTTATATATATATATAAACTTGCTTACTTTTACCACTTATTGATATATATAATTATATGTTTAGTTTTCTCTTGTGAATTTTTTTAATTATTCATTTTTTTCTTAATGCATGTATATGTAAAATATTAGGATGGGCAAAAAGAAA